TATTTAACTAGTACTTTTATAATTGAAAGGATAGTTTAATATATTTATTCTTCACACAGCATTAAAAAGTGACCTTGTGAATATTTTAATGCTAACATTTTCAAGTTCTAGAAAATTCTACAAGTGTATTTAACATATCCTGTTTTTTAATAGAGTAGGACTAGTGAGAAATATGTCAATTCAATATTAGTGTGGAAAATTATATTGTATATACAAGTTCACATCTAAAAAGATTCTTGGTGTCATGAAATCTAGTTTCTTTTCTGGCTGGTAAAATATGGAAACTGTGGTGTCATTTCCCTTAATTTATAGTGAAATAACTATTGCCCCAGCTTAGTATTTTTTAAAATGTATTTTTCTTCTTCCTGTAAAAAAATATTTTTGAAATTCTGCTCAAACAAAAAGAGGAAATCAAAATCAACTATAATCCTACTATCCCCAAATTGCCACTATTAAGTATTTGGTCCCCAGAACCAGAATTGGTTTTCTCTATTTAGGTTTTGTTTCCTTTAATAAACTTTTGTGGCTTTTTAGGGCATGAGTCCTACACATTTCTTGTACAGTTTATTCCTAGATATTTTGTTTTTGTTTGTTCTGTTGTAGTTGCTCTTTTGAGTGAGAGCTTTCCCCATTATGTTTGAAATAATTATGAGATATTTATTATGTAACTGAACACTTTATTTAACTATTTTTGTTAACTTTAATAGTTTTGCTTTTGGTTCCATTCATTTTTTCAGGACAATATTTTTATCTTATGCTGACTACAATGTATAATGTTTCATAATGGAAGTAATACGTACCATTCTGCTTAGAATTTAAAAGAGAATTTTGCATGTTAGAAAAATATTGCTTAAACCAGACTTTGGCCATAGTATTTGAACTCACATTTGAAATGAGATCTTTCATATGAAAAAAGATTATAATATGATGCTACATCCAAGATATTTTTTCATATTGGTATTGTTCCCACACTGTTTGACCTGGCAGAATCCCTATCACTTTTAAAACTTATCTTCATGGGGTGATTGGCTAATATACATATCTACACAGTTAGGCAGTTTAGAGTTAACAAACTATCCATGCGTTGTACAATTTTAAGCCTAAGTACAACTGAGATTTTCTTCCTTGATGTATTAAAAGAGATTTTCTTAGGAAAGAGAATACAAATTTTAACACTGTAAAAAGATTGCCTTGTTATATAAATGATCTCTTTGCTATTTTTTTCTCATCTCTAGAGAAGTCCTTCTTGCTTACCTACCCCATAGAGACCAGTTGAGGTCATGTAGTTTTTAAAGTTTAGATTCTCTATCAAATCTGTAAAAATTAACTTTATATTAAAATCTTTATTCAATCCTCTAGCTACTGCGAAGCTATCATTATATTATATATCAAAACGTTCTTCCTACACTATAAGAAACTTCTCATAAAAATATATTATTTTAAAATATTTTCAGTAATTGAGTAGATCTAAAAGGTTTAACATTTTGATAATACTCATAAGTGGTTTCTAAAATGTCACATAATGTGAACATGGAATTAATTTCTAAAACTAAGTGCTTTAAAATTATTTAACATGGAAAATTCTGTTCAAGTAGCCGTTACTCTGTCAAAAACATTTTAACTGCCGGCTGAAGTAGCCACTTTGAATTTCACCAGTAAGCATAAAATTGAAATGGCCTAGATGACATATGCTTGTTTGGGAATCAAGAACTGTTTGTTTTAGTACAGATTCATAATCTCTTATCTGAAGTCTGTGGTGCCAGATGTAGTTTTGATTTTTCAGATTTTTAGAAATGTAATATAGAGCATATGCCCTATATTATTTAAAACTGATGGTATCTGGGTAGCACCCCATAATTAAACACATTAACACTTTCGGATAAATGTATGAATGTCCACATTAAATAAAATAAACTTTGGTGTGGGTCAAGTTTGCCACCAGATGATTTCAGCTCAGGTTGGATTTGGACATACTGATTATGATATATACCTTCATTTTCAGAGATTTTTGTATTATGAATATGAGATTTTGGACTTGAAGTTCTCTGTGATCTTGGTCATTTTTCTGGGCTGCCAATCATCTCATATGCTAAAATGAGAAGTTAGACTAAGTGAATTATACATGAACTTTTCAGATTCTAAATCTAATGTCTATTTAATTCTCTGATATAAGAAACACTACAACTGTCAGTCTTATATTATTCCAGTTACCAATTATTTAGTTCAGGGATCCTCAACATCCCTGAAAGGTAAGTAGTAATTATTTGTGCTTTATATATAAATATTAAAGAATGTAGGTCTCTAACATAACATAATAAAATAAAATTTAAAAAAAAGATGTAATTAAAAAAAAAAGAATGTAGGTCAAGAAATGTTTTTGCTTGGTCTGCTATATAGTCGCAGCCAAACTAGATTTCAAGTTCATGAAGACAGAATAGTTTTTGTCTGCAATTTTGATTTCCAGAATGTATTCTACTGTAAATTTCTTATGGTCATAATTAATATTTGAACCATATAGAAATGGTGAGAAATGTTGTGTGGACTTCATGACTTTCCTCTGAAAATCTGAAAATCTGAAATGTTAGACCAAGGTAACCTAAAGGGAGTCTGCAAAACCCCACTTTATTGCAGGGCCTCAATCTTGCAATCTAAATCCCCCCAAAATGAGTCCTAAATCTGAAGGGGCTGGGCTCCCCACTGAGGAAAAACCTAAAGCTAATCAATGAGAGAACTGGCAAGGTCTCTCCAAGAGGGAGATAACAAGCTCACAGTCAAGTTCTGGGTGGGACATGGAGATGAAAACTAGAGGTGAGACTCAGTCAGCCAGAGCTTACGGACTAGCTGCTAAATGCAGCATCCATTTGTTTTGGATACTTGCTTTATTTGTGGCGTACTTTTGTTAATAAAAAGAAAAAAATGTATTTGATTATCTTTGGGCATGGAATGCTCTTTAGTTTTCCATATTTTCTGCACTTCCTATGGTTGTGTGCCTTGTCACTCTCCCATTGACGTGATGGCCTTCGAAGGCATGTAAATGTGCCATTTCTGCCTGTGTGCTACACTATTAAGGCAGACTCTTGAAAAGTGAGAATTTATTGTTGGAGAGGGAGGCTATAATATGGACTAAGGAATTGGTATTGCAGCCCTTCCGGGGCCTACAAGACATTGAGCTACTGCCAGCTACCTTTTATTCATTTTCTCAAATAATACTTATTGAGCATTTACTACATGTGCTGGGCACTGGGGATGCAATCAGAAGACACACATAGGCCACAAGTCTATGGAGGAAGATGGACATTGAATCAATAAGCATGGAGATGTGAAGACTGATATAAATTATAATGTTGAAAGGAAAGAATGGGATGAGAGAGAAAAACAAAGAGTTCTCCCTTATTTAGATGGAAAAGTCTGGTTAAGTCTCTGAGGTTTAGCTGAAAGCTGAGTAGGAACCAGCCAGGTAAAAAGAGGAAGGAAATATCTTTAAGATAGAGAGGACAGCAAGTGGGAAGGCCTTAAGGCAAAATGAACTTGGTATATTTGAGAAACAGAAAGACCAGTGTGGTTGGAATGTGTGAATGAGATGAGAATGGGGAGATGAACAAGGGCAAGATCATGCAGGACCTTATAGGCCATTTAGGGCACTATTTTAAAGGATAATGGAAGCCGTCGAAGGGATTCAGCAAGGTCAGACTAGAGTTTTTAAAGAGGTTGCTTGGGCTACTGTGTGAAGAATGGACTCTAAGGGTACAAAGTAGAACTGCTGCTGTCATCCGGCAGGCGGTGATAGTGGCTTGAGGCAGTGCAGACTGACAGGTGAAAATCTTCCCCCCCCCAAAAGAAGAATCCTAATGGATAGGGTGTAGATGTGAGTAGAAACCAGACTATAGGGAGGATTGTCAATGTTATTGAAGGCTTAAAACAAGAATTCCCTGACCAGAGACTCTATAGGAGCTACACACTGGATTTTATTGCTATATTCTGAAAGCTGTTGGGCAATCACCATGATTTTTGGTAACTTAGAAGAGTTTCCAAAAGTCAAGTACTTGTGCTACTTTCTTTTCCATTTAAGAAGACTTAGGTTACAGCAAAAGCCACTAGACATGAGTAGTTGAACCTAGTGGATATGGAACAAAAATTTATGAAAAATGGTACTGTTACTTAAAGCACCATTTGACTAGTCTGTTGCCCTGTAGGTGCCCTAAAAAGATGTCAGTTTAGTTTGGTGCTACTGCAGGTTGGGTTCTCAAGAAGGAGATGCTGAGGCAGAGCTTGGGTGCTAAATATTCATTAGGGACCCATACCTGTGAAAGGAAGAAGGAGGAAGCAGGATTGGGCAGATGAAAAAGTCAGTTTCAATGCAGGTCCAACAAAGTCCGGGTCAACACTGCAGGGAGCTCTGGATGAAATATTGCTCATCAGGGTGACCCACATTGGGTCCAAACTGGTTGGACTTTAAAATCCTGTCTTGCTCAGTCATTGGGTATAGGCTGCCCCAGCAGTGGTATACCTTTGGACGAGTTTACTCTTTGAAACTGAGTCCAACTCTGAAAGAAGGGACAGCTGGGCATCGAGTGCTTTCTAGAAGTGGATGGCACATCCGAGCATCAGCCACAAAGGCTGATTTGCTTAACAGTAGTAGTGAGTCACTTGGCCCGCTGCTTTATTTTTTAATTTATGTGGTTTTTTTCCTCCTAGGAACTCAGGATAAAACATACACAATTTTTTAATCACAAAATATTTATCAGTCACTGAGACAATCCAAGAGAGGAGGATTAAAATGTCAGAGGTTGGAAGGAGACACCAAGAACAGGAAAGGAATAGAGGGAAAAAACTAATGGAAAGAAGCTTCTAGAACTTGGAGAAGCGAATTTTAGTAAATACAAAGAGTTATAGCACCCAGTTGTGGGCCTTGTTTTAAAAAACACTATGATTAACACATCTTTAAAAACGTTTGGAAAATAACATTGTGAAATTTTAGCTGTCTCTTGTTTCTTTGACAGATATGGAGGACTTGAATAAAAGAGACCAACCATTCATGACAATTCAGAAAAACGATAGCTCAGGTATTTTTTTTCTACTTCCAAATCTGTTCTATGATTTATAGTGGATTATGCATGATGTAAAGTTGGAATGTTGATTTTCAAAATTTTAATGGAAAGCTCATTGTTTGGTCATACTGAAGGTTTCTCCAATTCCCTTACAATGCATGCTTAAATCTTCAACAGTGGTCAAGATAACCATACTTTCCTTTACTGTGTTTGTCCTTGAATCATTTGGAGTCTACTTAAAGTCATGTGATTCGTGATATACTTAATCTCAATCACTTTATATGGTACAGATTAATTATTCATATAATTAGGGCAAAGATGCATTGGTTTTTTTTTTTTGCTTGAATTACTCAGATTATTATACTTTATGCTACTTGGGCTTTGAGTACCTTCTACTTATGTTTTACTTTATTGGAACAGCAAATATCATACTAAACTAAGACATTTTATGTATTTGGATGGAGAATGCCTACCTGAAAATTTTATATCATTTTATTCTTATTTGGCCCATTACATTTTTTAGCTTTCAGTTTCAACCTTTTTTCAAATTTACTTGAAATTATTTTATTTCAATTTTTTCTGTTAGAAATGCAGTTATGACTTTAAAAATCTGATTAATTTGATTCATAATAAGATGATACTTAAATATTCACAGTTGATGCCTAAAACTTTTTAAATAAAAAGAATGGCCACACTTTGTATCTTGACATTAATTTTCTAAAATTCTCAATATACTTACTTAAATGGAAATATCTCCTTTATGTTCTTTTAGAAGTAATTTTATGCAAGGTATATAGTGGTAATTATTTTTAAAGTTTCTAAAGATAGAGGTTCAAATATACTATGAATGTTGTAATATTTTTTCTTGTTTTTGCTTAAAAATAAGACCTGCGGTCAACATGTTGCCATAGCTATATTTAAACTTCCAATAATATGATACTATTTCTTTGTCATTTTCTGTTTTTAATGAAAAACAGATAATCTGGTGTTCCGAATGAAAAATGGAATGAGAGGCACCAAGTATAAACCAGTAGACTATCAACAGTTGCAAGCATTAATGGAAGCAAAAAAATTAGCTTCTGCCTCTGTAGAGCTAAAGGTTAGAAATGTGTATGTGTGCATGTGTGTTTTCTAGTTTTGGAAAATTGAGTTTCCAGGAAGTAAAATTATATTTATAATGCAAATGTGAAAATAAATGACATTCTAAATAGTTTTTAGAATCTTCCAACTATTAATAATAGTGAATAGCAGCTAACGTTTATTGAACATTCTCAGACACTGTGCTATATAGTTTACATGCATTCCTCAGTTAATGTTCATAACAGTCCCGAGGTCTTTACTTTTAGAAAGCTAGCTATTTTATTAGTGTTCAACAATTTCTAACTTACTCTGAAAAATAAGAATTGCAAATAAGTGCCAGCCATGGATTATCATCTGATTTAAGGCTCCTTTTGCAACACGATGCAAATATGCCCTCAGGTGCCTCTCTTTTCTACAATTCCCTTTTTTGCCCTAATCTCAGAAAAGGTGAACCTGGACTAGATTTGAAAGGGGTTTATGTGCAAGTGATTGTGCACAGTATTTTAAGGCCTTATATGGTTTAGGATTACTCATGCAGTATGTTTCTCTCTTGTGCAAATAATAAAGTACATTATAAACAACATTTTCATTGCTTGGTTGCATTAAAAATCTGATTTGGCAAAGTGACATATTAAGTAATTTACAAGTTTTCATTTGAATTTAATATTTTTGTGCTACATTAGTTTTGCATGGCTTTTTTTAAATGTCTTTTTAAAAAGGCAAATATTATGATTCCAAAGCACATTTTGTACCTATTCTAAAGACGTGACTACCTATCCATGAGATATATCCCCTCAAACTAAAGAGACTTCTTAAAAAGGGCCTTATTTGTTAAGTTCAGATATAACTTTAAAAGAATTTGATGTTGTTCTCAGGACATTGAAAGAAATTTTATGGGAAAATCACTTATATAACTATTATCCTAATAAAACTATTTTCATATTTCTGACTTCTATTCTGACCCATTATATATACATCACATTATGCATGCATATATAGACATGAACATATACATACATATTTTATTTTTCCCATGATAAATATAGACATGAAATCCTGTTACTTCCCCCTAACACTTTGCCACATAATCTTTATAATATTTATTTATTATATAATATTTAATTACTCTCATAAATAAATATTTACTACTTGGCTCAATAATATAATAATGAGCAAAATACATCCCCTACCCTCATGGCATGTACTGTTTGCAGGAGAAGAGGAGGAAAGTCAGTGTTAATCAAATAACAAAAACATGCTGTCTGGTCTTGATCCTAGTTGAGTGGGAAGGTTTTTTTGAGGCAATGACATTGGAATTGGGATCTCAAGACCAATAAAAATTAAACCAAAACAGGAGTGGTGAGTACTTCAAATAGGAAAAGACACATGCCTTACCACATTCTGATTTTTGGATATTTGGATTGTATCCAGTTTTACAATATTGGGAATCATACTTTGGTAAGTATCTTCATGCAGAGACACTTTTCATGTTTTAGAATCCTTCACCCTCATAGGATAAATTCCCATGATTGGAATGTTTGGGCCAAAAAAATATGAATGTTTTTTAAAAAGTTCTTTCCCAAAGTGTTGTTCTAATAAAGATACCACCACAGATACTTCCTCTACACCCTGTCAGTATTGGAATATGTACATATATATTCATATATATACACATACATCTTAAATATTATCTATATATCTGTCCATCCATCATGTACCAAAAAAAATTTTTTTTGGCTGAATGTAGAATGGTTGAGTGTCAAAACTCAGTGCTTGGTCACAGTGAATTTCTCTGTGGTTAAAGAATCACTCTCAAAGAATAAACATGTTTAAAATTTTTAATTATTGATGTGGCTTTCAATTTTTGATATTAAGTGCAAGGGCAATAATTTCTCATTCCTGTAGCTGCTAGATTGCTTCTCTGGTCACTGTGTTACATATTTGTGAGACTAAACAGATGATCACTTTCAACTGACATTTTAAGTAACATCAATAACCTTTTTGTTCATAGGATATAATTCAGGAAGAAGCTTTTTAGTTACATATTTTCTGGAAATAACTGTACCTGGGACTTATAGCTTGGCAAACCTCAAAAATCCCTTGTCTTCAACTACTGAAAATGGCTCACCGTCTGTAGCAATCATTTCGATAAGCTTTTTGCTTCCATTTTTAGTCTCCATAGATTCATAATGATAAGGAATTGTCCTGTTAAGGCATTTTTAAAGTATCTGTTGTTTGAATTTCAGTTAGTGAGACCAAAATGTGTTCTGGATACCTCACCATTTTCTAATACTTCTTTCCTTTTACAGTTTTCATTTTTTAGTATAGCTGGATTAAGAAAGATATATTGAGAATGTTGTTTCATGTGATTTTTGATCTTTTCTTCTCATTTAATTTAGAGATAGAAAGTTGACATTTTGCTTTTAATTGACTATTATAAAATGTGAACAGTTCCCAAATAGGACTTTTCCTTGAAAGATTCATGGCTAAAATGGAATTAGATAACAGGAAATTAAGTATAATTCTTAAAGTTTATTTTGTTTAATGTTATGAATGCTAATATATATACCAACTAGCCTACACCAACTAAGATTATGATTATAATATCATCTCTGTTACTCTTATATTGTTATTTACATTTTTATAAAATATGCATTGGCTCAAGAAGAGTATTTTTTTCTTCCTAATGTTACAGAGTTAACACATTCTTTCAATATTTGTATTAAATATCAGTTCATCTCCTACTTTTTTAACTAATTAAATGTGTTCTTTTCTTGCACATGAAATTAACAGCTTTAATAATCATTGTTAATTATTACAGCAGTATACTCTGGCAATATTAAATGTAAACATACTTAAACTGAAGGATAGAATGTTAACATTTAAAGCACATAAAGGAGGTGTTTGCTTCAAGTTGGATCCAGAGTACTTAGTTATATTTGAAGAGAAATTAACAATAATTATTTTCTTATAATAATTATTGTTAATTACTAGTAAATTCAGAAGACTTGCCTAGTTTCTATTCCTGGTATTGGTATATTGATCAGATGTGTCTATGTCATTGATCATGCACAAGTCGTGGGCTTCCAGATAAAGACACTGATGTGAACACAGAGTGATCTAGTCTTTCACAGGCTGAGATTGAACCTGAAGTCAAAGAGTAGATTTGGGCTGGAAACTGAGACCAATTTTTGGTACATTATATGTTAACTATTCATTTCTAATTTAGTATAAAAGAGATCTTTACAATTATTTTTATTTGAATTGCTTTGCTAAGCAAGAATGAATATTTCTTGTTGTCCAGCTAAGTTTGTCTAGTAATCCTTTTTTAAAAATATTATCAGAAATTGTAAGCACATGCAAATTTAGAGTGAATGATTGATCTCTATGTAATTTATCCAGTTTCATCTATGATCAACTCTTGGCTATTGTTTTCTCTATACTCCTTACCACAACTTTCCCCTGTGCCAGGTTATTTTGAAGTAAACCTCAGGTATCATAATATTTAACCATAAATATTTCAGCATGTATCTCTAAAAGATGAAGGCTAAACAGCCCCACCCCAAACCCTATAATGCCATTACCATTAGAATACTAATAATTTCTTAATTTCAAATATCCAGTGTTAAATTTCCATGATTGTCTTCAATTTTTTTACGTAGAGTTTGTTCAAATCAGTATCTAAGTAAGATCCATATATTACAGTTGATTTTTATTTTTTAGGTTTCCTCCTCTATCCTCTTGTATTTTTGTAATTTATTTTTTGAAGAAATTATATTGTTTGTCTTTTATATTTTCTTACAGTCTGGATTTTGCTGATTACATCATGGTGGTGTCATTTAACATGTTTTTCTGTCTCTTGTATTTCCAGTAAATTGGTAGTTATATCTGGAGATTTGATGAGTTTCAGGTTCAATTTATTTTGACAGGATCACTTATTGATGGAATTTTTGTACTGCAGTCTTTTTCCATCACAAATAGTGCTACAGTGAATAGTTTTGTTCATTTATCTTTTTATACTTTTGTCAGTATAGTCTTCAGATAGATTTCTATAAGTAAAGTTGCTAGGTCAGAGGGTAAATCCATATGAGATTTCACTATACACCTCCAGATTCCCTTCTGTGGGAGGCTGCACCATTTTGCATTCCCACCAGCAACAAGAAAAAGTATGTCTCCCTATAGCCTCACAGTGTTTTGTGACACATCTGAAGTTTTGCTAGCCTGATAGATGAGGAATTGCATCTTAGTGTAATTGGGTTTTTTTCTTTTTATTTATGTTAACAGTTCTTTATACGTTTAACTGTTCTTTTACCTTTGTTGAGGTACAACTCACACATAGTTAAGTGCACAGATCTTAAGTGTACATCTCAATGAATTTTGACAAATGTATATACCTATGTAACCAACATTTAAGTTGTCCACTAGTTATTGTTGCTTACATTTAAAGATAGGTCATCTGACCCAAACGGTTTTCATGGCATTTCAAGGTGCCTATTTAGATTCTTACTATCTTGGGTCATCACAATAAACCACATAGGAAACCTCTAGTTTCTTATTCCTTAATGAATTTATTATTTTTGCTATTTTTAATTCATCAGCATTCTGCATAAATCATCATCCACCTTAAATATTGATTTCATATGGCTTATTGCCCAGCAAAATACATTGGAACCACCTAGAAATCTCTCTATTGATAAAGATACAACTTTAAATCTTTTTGTTCTTTTAAGATTTTATTTTTCTTCATTTTTGGCCTGAGGATAGAAGTGGAGTCAATGAATGAACTTACAAAAAATCAGGATGTTCTTTAAAATATTGGAAGTGTCTAGTGAAAAATAGTAGCTTTATTTTCACTTTTATAGTCTACCTAATTGGTCTTACCCTGGGCTCAAAGGCAACAACATTGATTTTTTTAAGCTATAAAAATGTGTCTACGTCTTTCACCAATGTGTTTTAATTTTTTTGTACAACATGGACCAAATATGTCAAAGAAAACTAATTTTAAAAGTGGCTGTCTGCTGCAACAAACTTTAGAGGCTGTAGGTGGCAAGTAGCTGGAATGGGTTTCAGGCATTCTTAAAGCAAATACTAGAAGTGTCAGATTTTAGAACCACTATGTACTATTATGTTTTCAGTAGGTAGAATAAGGATTGCTGAATGTTTTTCTGCAGTGTCCTGTTCTTACTTATTTATTTTTTAAAAAGATTTTATTTATTTATTTGAGAGAGAGAGAGAGAGCACAAGCCAGGGGGAGGGTCAGAGGGAGAATCAGACTCCCCACTGAGCAGGGAGCCTGATGTGGGCCCATCCCCAGACCCTAGGATCATGACCTGAGCGGAAGGCAGAAGCTTAACTGACTGAGCCATCCAAGCGCCCCTCCTGTTCTTATTTAAATGTGCTTTTCATAATTGTAGCACTCTTAAGACCTCCTGAGGAAAAGATTTGACTTTGACTCCATGTTTTTGTTTTCTTATACCGCTAATTTTGAATCAGTAACCAGAACAGTGGAAAGATAAACTCAAGGTTAAAGCAATCAGTGAATGACAGCGAGAAATAGCATGCATTATAAAGAGTCTTTTTAGGACTTGTCTTCTGAAGTTTTTATATCTTCAGCATTGATCTGTTAAAGCTTTCAGGGTACTAAGTATTCTAGTAGCACAGAAAACATAAAATATGCATGTTTCATCAAATTTCTGATTTGAGAGTAGCACTTTTGTAGATGTTTAGAAGCACTAATATGGAATATGTGAATTCAGCGAACACATGAGTATCAGTCTAACCAGGAAACAGACACTAAGGATTTAGAGGAGAGGGGTCTTTAATGCAGGAAATGGTTACACAGGTGTAGAGCTGAGAAGCCAGACAGGGGACCATGAAGCAATACAGGGGTTAACAACAGTAGAAGTGCCTGCCATGCTTGGGTCAGAGGGACATTAGAAAAAGCAAGGCTGTACCACATTCTGTGGGCTGAGTTTACCCAGAAATTGTTGGAACCATAGTAGAACTGTCAAGAAAAGTTAGAGCAATGGAGAAGATGCAGATGCTCCTGGAGACCACTCTGAGAGTAGAAACGGCAGGCAGAGTAATCCTTTGGCTTCTCCTTTCCTCCCTCCTTCAGTCTCCTACAACCAGTGTCTCCCTTTGGCTGAAACAAGCTGGAAGCCTGCTAATAGGGCTGTCCTGGAAACAGGCTGCTCTGTGTTATGGAGCAGATCAGGGAGATGGCCAAGAGTGGATGTTAAGGCAAACAGATCCAGGCCTGATTCAACTTGTCAACAAACCCCAAAGCACTAATTATGGGCTACATTTTTAAAAAAGATTTTTATTTATTTATTTGAGAGAGAGTGAGAATGAGAGAGATCACAGAGGGAGAGGGAGAAGCAGACTCACCGCTGAGCAGGGAGCCTGATGCGGGACTCGATCTCAGGACCCCGAGGTCATGACCCAAGCCAAAAGCAGATGCTTACCAACTGAGCCACCCAGGATCCCCTATGTGCTACATTTTTAAAAAGCCATAAAATTTTGGGAAAATTTAAATTTAATTAAAAATGTGGGCTTCAATGTTACATGATTTTTCACAATTTCTTTAAGTTCCTTCAAATAAATATGTGCCTAATTTTTAAAATATTTGCCTAAATTTTTTAAAACTTTATTTATGAAGTCATGGAATTGAAAAATTAAAATTGCACGTTCAATGTCATATTTCTAGTAGGTACTGAAACTCAAACTAAAGCCAGGCTTTCTTTCTTTCTTTTTTAAGATTTTATTTATTTATTTGACAGAGAGACACAGCGAGAGAGGGAACACAAGCAGGGGGAGTGGGAGAGGGAGAAGCAGGCTTCCCATTGATCAGGTAGCCCGATGCAGGGCTCAATCCCAGGACTCTGGGATCATGACCTGAGCCGAAGGCAGACGCTTAACGACTGAGCCACCCAGGCGCCTGTAAAGCCAGGCTTTCTAACAACTTATCCAATGACTTTTCCCCATCCTCTGTTGAAGGTTCATATAAAAGCCAATCTGAACACCAAGGTTCTATGTGTTTCTGATGTTTATGAGCTTTATGATCTTGACCAGTTTTTTTAATCTCTCTGAACTTCAGTGTCCTCATAAGTCAAATGGGAATAATGATGCCCAAAATGCCTGGCAGGGAAGATGTATCAAAAAGATGAGAAAATATGTGGAAAGCTCTTAAAATTTTTCTGAGACTGTGTGAATTAAGGTGTTTTTAATTGCATGTAAGGAAAATAGAATTACTTCACCTTTCTTTTCATAAATACTTTAAAGACAATTCTTAAATTGGACAGTATTCCAAACCATTTTCTCTTTCACCTTTACTTTTCCTGCTTTTTGCTTAATGAATTACTTATTTTAAGGTGGATTTTGTGTTAGAAGATGTACTAATAGGATTGAAAAAGGATAAATATTTAACTTAGAAATTACAAATTTAACAATTTCATTGTGGAAAACACATTTAGAAAACATTGGAATTGCTCCTCTTTTGTTCCTGTAAATCTAGATCAGGAAAGCAGAGCAGACTTCAAAGATATCTAAGGAACAAACACTAATAAAACAACACAAGCAAGTGTGGTGGCAGGAACACCAACGGCTAACTGATGTCAGGTAAGAACTGAGGAAAATCTCTACAAGAACATGTGAGACTTGCTAAGAGTTGCACTTAGTTAGATGTTCTATAACTTTCCATGTTAATTAAACCATTAAAATTTAAAGTTACAGTTTGTGAGTCAAATTAAAATTCCTTCATTTCCTCAATGTAATTTGAAATCCAGCAAATACACTAATATGGCTTTTGCTTTCCTTAGGAAGAAAAAAGATAATCTTCTATATCTGCTGATCATTTAGTCTTCTATACTCCCTCTCATAGTTGTAATTATTCATATTGCCCTTAGCACATTGAATTATAATGTCTTGTTTACATGTTTGTTTTCCCTATGAAGTGGCAAACAAGGGCAAACATCCCATCAGTTTTATCTTTTCATTGTAGGATTCATAGGAGGAGATACAGAAATGCTTTCAACAGATGAATAAACGAATGGACTAAGGGGTTCAGGTTGTTCACTGATTACTAGATGTAGCTGCATCATGACTAACTTAGTCAATTTGCATTTTTGACTTTTGTTATTATTTCCAGCACTTGTTTCAAGATGAAGGAACAAAATAATGATTCTAGCCTTGTTCTTAATTGTAATCTTTGAAAAATACATTTCTTTCAAAGGTCAGGGCAAAAAGAGAAGGCAGATGTGTTTCCCCTCCATTTGAAGCATATATGCTAGTTTTAATGATGGTGGTATTTGTAAAATATGCTTTTAAAAGTGTATGTTTTTAATCGTATATTTTATATCAAAGTAAATCATTTTGTGGTCTTATTCTAAGTCAAATTTCTAAAGGTCATTAACTTTACTTTTGATGTAGGTACTTTTCAAATTAGTAGGAGTTTCTTATTCTGGCAAGAGGTTCCTAACTGAACTAAAAGGCTCATGATTGGATATGGTTTTACATCATTGTATAACTTAAGACATAGAAAAACAAAATTATATGCACTTTGTCACCATGCTGCTGACATAAAAACAAATCAGACCCATTCTATCTCTCAAAAAATCACCTTTTATGGAGAGAATGAATGAGCCCATTAGAATTTTTTTTTTTTTCAAAATTTGCATGACTTGGTAGAAAGGAAAGCCATTAGAAAGTTTTTATTATGGCGCTCCCTGATGAAAGCTCAGATGTAAAGGAAGACACTGGCGAAAGTTTTTACCTTGGCTGTTCCACACTTCTAACTGTGTGCATTAGCTGTTCTAGAGCTAGATAGAAGAGGCATATCCATATCATTGTGGAAAATAGTTATTTTGGTTGACCTGGAATGGCACAAAGGCAATGGAAGGGAGGAGCTTTCAAGTAATAGCCTTAATGTCTTGAAACTTCTAAGTGCTGAGAATTGGACAAAAAGAAGAATTCTAAGGTAATTTTCTGTTATTCTAGAAAGCAGACTAATTTCAATATGTTTTCAGTGAAATTAAAAACTAATAATGAAAGGAGGAAAGTTAGAGAAGTGGCTAGATTTGTGGAGAATTTAGGGACCACCAGAAAATGAGTGTGAACTCTAACCTTTAAAAATCTAATAAAAGGGGCGCCTTGGTGGCTCAGTTGGTTAAGCGACTGCCTTTGGCTCGGGTCATGATCCCAGGGTGCTGGAATCGAGCCCCACGTTGGACTCCCTGCTCGGCGGGAAGCCTGCTTCTCCCTTTCCCACTCCCCCTGCTTGTGTTCCCTCTCTCGCTGTCTCTCTCTGTGTCAGATAAATAAATAAAATCTTAAAAAAAATAAAAACCTAATAAAAGGTTAAAAGTAAAATATTTTTATGCCTTACCATAAGAGAGTCCATTTGAGAATCTCAGGCCTACAGAAGGTAGGGGACTACAATGACACTGAACTTTTGTGGGGTTATTTAGTATGTGGCAAGTAATATGGCAAATAATTTATATGCTTTATTTCATTAAGTCCTTATGACGACCCTACAGAGTAGGTATCATTGCTCTCCCCACTTTATAGGCGACAATCTTGAGTTTCAGAGGATCAAAGTTATTCACGGAAGGTAAATCAGCTAGTTTATGTGAAGATGGCATTGGAGCACTTGCCTTTAACTCCTGTGCTCCATGAACTTGGAGTTCAGAAGCTTATTTCCCCCACAGGTTTCCATTCATATCACCCAAGGCTCTAATTGGTCTAATCTTGCTAGAAAAAATTTTTTTTTTTGCCAAACTTTAATTCTTTGAAATCTGTCCTCAGGAAAGTAGACACATAAAATTTCCAGATATATAATACTTAAATAGAATATTTAAAATATATAATATTTAAATTTATAAAATTTCATATTAAACTTATAAAATTACATTTAGTATTTAATATGCTTTCTCGAGCTATACCCTCAGAGACCTTGATATACTCTCTCAGCGGCACTTGCTCCCTTGTTCCAGAATGACTGGTTTAGAGGTTAAGGAGGGAGATAAAGATGTGATAAAGAATTACAATTTTTATTTTAATCAGAATTGTTGAATCATAAAATTTGAAGGGTTTATTTGTACACTTTACTACTTGTATGATAATTCCTACAAGGGATGTTTTATAACCAAATCTCTGTTAGAAATACATGTAGTCTCTTGCTCACAGTTTTATTTTTATTTATTTTTATTTTTTTATAGTTTTAGTTTTAAAACATTATTTTGAAAATATCTCCTTTTTACAGAGGATATCATGGGGTTTTAACAACAACAATTAAATGTCTATAAATGCATCTTTAAAGATAAAATTGACACCAGTATTCACACTGTGCAACTCAGAGCCTCAAAGAACTCTAAGCCTGGCTCCTGAGTGCCTTCCCTGGCCATTGGTTGTGGGACTCCCTGCTCTGTCTCTGTGGTATGCTCGCTTGGGACAGACTCTTTCAAGTGAGAAGTGGATCAAATAGCTGAATGTAAGGAACCAAGCTGTCTGACCTGCTGAGTTCCTTCCCTATGGAAGGGACAGAGCTTTGACCTTCAGCCTGCTCTAGTACCCTAATTTTCTGCAGGTCTCCTGGCTGTTAGTTCCATTAATGGAACTTTAACATACTTTCTTGCTCTGCCTTTCATGATCCATGTCCCTTTGCTTATTGTTTGCTTATGGCTTCTGCCTCTACCATTCTTGTACCCCATGTTTTGTTTGCTCTACCCAAAGTGGTAACTAAGTGGTTACTCTAGAAATCTCAGGAAGCTCTGGTGATGTTTGATGTTCTGAGGAGACTGATTCTACATCGAGAACTTTGGCACCATCCTGGAAGGATGAGGACCTATATGGCAGTAGACTCCTGAGAGTTCAATAACACCCATCACCAGGTTGGCTTACCTTGCGGGTGATTGCATTGCGACGAGGCAGATCTAGGAAGTAGATTAACATATCATCTAGCAAATGGTCACACAAAAACTCAGGAGACTTTTTTATAGTACCATCACATTTACTGGTAACAGAGGATAGGCCAAATAGCATTAGGAGGTACTTAAATTGGCAAATTTGGGCATGGAAAGCCGCCTTACATTTGTTCACTCTTCAGATGGGGAAGATGTTTTACGTGCTGCAGAGTTCCAACTTGGAGAACACCCAGGACCTGGTCTAGCATGTCAGTGATGACCAGGGTAGGGTTCTATTCTCCAGAGTTACCATTGTGAATGATCTTGAGTCCACTAGAATTTTTTTAAAAGATTGATTGATTGATTGATTGATTTTAGTGGGGAGGGGAGGGACAGAGGTAGAGGAGGAGAGAGTCTTAAGCAGATTCCACGCTGAGCATCGAGCCCTAAGCAGGGCTCAATCCCACACCCTTGAGATTATTACCTGAGCCTAAAGAGTCAGATGCTTAATCGACTGAGCCACCCAGGAGCCCCCCAGCCACAATTTTTATATTTCCTATATCATATTCTACAAAACAGGAATATTCTTCAAGATACTCCATTGAGAGTAATGAATTTCATATTCCTATAAATTAGAAAATATATTTCCTACCCTTTTTGGATAACCTCAATGCACTTTAGCATAATCAAGTTTTCGAGAAATTCTATACCGTAGAAACATACCTGATTTTGTTTAGTTTACTATTTCCCATTCCCCCCAACCCCAGCTTCTCATTGACATTATTGTTTTACAGAACACAATTAAGGAAATGTTAGCTTATATTTACAAGCTAGTTTCAGAGTCTCGTAGTTCTTGAGGGCATAAAAAAATGCTTTTGGATTTTGTTGGGCAATCAGGACAATCAGAGAAAAGGCCTGGTCTTGGCAGATGGGTTAGGTTGTGAATCTAGGAAAACAGGATGGAACTTAATAGAATTATTACATACAAGTAGCAGGTTGGTCTCCTGTATGAACAGTTCTCCTGTTGGCTTGTATGTTTTACTATGGTTTTCTGGATGCTGAAAATTTAAAGGAACTGAGCTGGACAATTGATAAGTGCTATGTTTTTGTTTAAACAAAACCACCATGAAATAAATTCTGGTTTTATTCCACTATTATGCACCCCTCCTCCATGTAATAGTTTCAAATATATTTCTGGCAAAAATATTTCTGGCAAAAACTACATATTAAAAAAGTAGACAGTGGGGCGCCTGGGTGGCTCAGTTGGTTGAGCGGCTGCCTTCGGCTCAGGTCATGATCCCAGGGTCCTGGGATCGAGCCCCGCATCGGGCTCCCTTCTCAGCAGGGAGCCTGCTTCTCCCTCTCCCTCTGCCTGCCTCTCTGCCTACTTGTGCTCTCTCTCTCTCTGTCAAATAAATAAATAAAAAATCTTAAAAAAAAAAGTAGACAGTGAAGTGTCATCTACAATAGCACTCCTTTATAGATACGAATAAAACCTCTGTCCCACGTAAGTGAGTTGGCTTAGAAGATGGTGGCACTTATATAAAATAGAATATGATGTGGCCATTAAAATAAATGGTAATTGTGAGAATTATTAGAAGTATCTTAAAATGTTATTGAAAAACCCCAATATAAAATGGTAAATATGCCATAATTATAGTTATTTAAAATATATATGCATGTAGACAAGGACTAGAAACATATGCAAAAATAAAAATAATCATTGTATTAAAGGATTGTAATTGATGCTATTTTCTTATTTTATACCATTTCTAATATTATATTTTAGCAATCATGATAAATCAAAACTCTTTTCTATGATTTCATTAAATCTGCCATAAGCAAGGGATAGGCTACAATGTTTTTGGATGTCCATTTAGAGCTGGTTATGGTTTTATTCTAAAAATGACTATATCTAAATAATATGATAAAAAGTCATTAAGATGTATTACTTTTATTAGTGTATAAAAATAAAACATACTTGTACTCCCATTTCCCTATTTCAGGACCTCATCATCTCTTAACTTTTGAAATAACCTCCTTGTTGGTCCAGGTTTACCTGATCCCCTCCATCTTCATTTTCTGTTTTATTGACCACCTCTCCTTTCAGCCCATCCTCCACTTTGTTGCCTTGCATCTCTGTGAAACACAGATCTGCTTGGCAGGTGAGGTCGGCTTAATTACCCTCAGTGGCTTCCTACTGTCCTCAGCTCTTTCCACACGAAGCAGTGCTAGGATGTGTCATGTGTTTGCCTTTGCTCATGCTATTACATCTGCCTGGAGTGTTCACTTATGCTTCTTTCTATCTCAGTGTCTGGCAAGTGTCCAACCCACGTTAGGAATTTAGTGTATGGTCTGAATAAATGAACAGCTGAATGGGACCACATTAGATTAAATTTCTACTAGTTTTTTAAATCTATGTATGTTCACGATTATTTAAAAAATTGATGGAGATAATGTCTATTTCAGATGTAAAATGGAATCTGAAATTAAATCCTTTCTCAGTAAAGAGAACATTGGAAATGAATGTCTTTCTGACCTTACAAATTTTGGTGAGTTGTTTTCTTTTTTGATCCTATATTTAAAGGGGAGTTTTGTTTTGAAGATGACAGTGGGCCACTCACTTTAAGTTCCCTTACTATTAACTGCTTGTTTTTTTCTGAAGGAATCCAAAGCAAAATCTGCCCTCTAAGACCTGTTCTTGAAGAAACTTAAAATAATAATGTATTACCTGGATCTAATTTTGTTTCTCTATAGAACAAGAGTTATCAGAACAATGGTACACATATCTTAAAAATGTGATAAATCCTATTCAGCAGCTGAGAGCAGATCTGAAATACAGACAGCATCACATTTCACAGTATTCATACTCACATATTGTGCTTAACTCAGTGAAAGTACTGGAAGAGGTCAGTATATTACCTTTACTTCTAATAATGTAATATTTCATTTTTGTTCCAACTAGAACAGTTTGACATAAAAAACAAATGTGTGCCTTGTATTTAAATAGAAGTATAGCAAATTCTGTCTCTTCAGTATCTTAAAAATATCCCTGAATCTGTCCAAGCATGCTTATTTCTCTCCTGAAAAGTTACAATGGCCTCATGACTGGTCTCCCTGCACTCATTCATTCTTGCCACTCTTCACAGTACATTTTGGGATTCTGCCTTCGGTGCAGGGAGATCAAGTCATCCCCCTGGTAGATCCCCTCAAGGCTCTTGCTGGCCCATAATTCCTCCCTATACATCCTGCTGTCTCTCTTCTTAAACTTCATCTCTTGCCTGACACTCCCCCTTTCTCCTAGACCTTGTCACACTGAGACTGGCCTCCCATCTATTCCTTATATGTGCCAGACTGCTTCTAATCTCAAGGCCTTTGCATCACCTGTTTTCTCTGTCCCACTGATGGCACTTTTTGTCACTTAGGTCTTAGCTTAAGTGTCCTCTCCCCTGAGAGGACTGTCCTAATCATCCACACAAAAGAAGCTACAGTCATTCTCTATTACGTTACCCTGTTTTTATGTCACTTACCTCCTCTTGATAATTGTCTTATCTTTTTTTTTTTAAAGATTTTACTTATTTATTTGAGAGAGAGAGAGCATGAGTGGGGCAGGGAGGAGCAGAGGGAGAGGGAGAAGCAGACTTCCCACTAAGCAAGGAGCCCAATGCAGGACTCAATCCCATGAACTGAGCCGAAGGCGGACACTTAACCGACTGAGCCCCCCAGGCATCCCTGGGTATGGGATTTTTAATGCCTCTTAGAAAATATATTATTTATGAAACCAATATAACAATATTACAGAATAACTGAAAAATAGTAAGAAAAATCACCTAAAAGCATACATCTAATGCCATTATGACTGTGGAGCTTATGCTCTAGTCAGGGGAGGTAGTCAATAAACTAATAAAAAAATAGATAAGGGGTGCCTGGGTGGCTCAGTTGGTTAAGCGTCTGCCTTTGCCTCGGGTCATGTTTATGCTCTCTCTCTCTCTCTGACAAATAAATAAGTAAGTAAGTAAGTAAGTAAGTAAGTAAATAAAATCTTAAAAAATTAACCCCATGCCCAGCTGGGGATTAGAGGCAAGGATGCAAAGAAGGGGCGATTGAACCAGAGACAATCTGGTAAGTTCTCTACCTTAACACAAACAAAATCCAAATGAGGGTGCAGAGTGGCTATGACCCCACTGTACTTCCTAGGCCCATTTTTAGGATATGTTCTGGAAGCCCCCTCTGATAAGCATTGCCTGGCTATGGCATGTCTTGAATCCTTTTCCACAGGTCCTCAAAGAAACCTTCTCTTATCTGTATCCTCTAGATTGACTTCGTGAAGAAACAATTGACTGCTGTCTTTGAAAGACTTAGTCTGGAGCAACAGAAAATAGAAAATTATCTTTCAGACTGGAGTATGAAGGTAAGTGTGATGTGTATAGTAATTTGTTTACCAATTTGTCATTTATGTTAAATAAAACCATCGTGTTTTTTTCCAGATACTAGATTATTCTTCAGAAGAAAGAAGTAAACTGCTTAGTGAACTGCCCATGGAATTAGAAACTTTGGAATGCCCATACCCTGATTTGAAATCTTCAATTCTTCATGAGTTCTGTAACTTTACAGAGAAATATAAAAAAAAACTTCAAGACTTTGATCTGCAGTTAGAAGACATATCCAGGTGATAAAATAAAACTACTTGAATTATGTAGGTTTTTGCCACTACATTTTAATATTTATTATTTTAATTTCATTTATTGTTTTCATAGTTACTATGTGGTTGGAACATAGTCAATCAATAAATGTTTAGATTGACTATTTGTTGAATGAGGATTCTCTTTCCTCCAAAATCATTTTCCTGAACAATGACTTTAAAGATTTTTACAAGGTTGAAATGTGATGAAAATAACCCCTCACTGAGCTCTTTACTGCATAATTAAGAAACAGTTTTCAAGCATGAACTTTCAGTAACTATGAAATTTGATTTTAAGTTGTGAAGCTCTTCTTCAGTGGAAATTTATAAATCAGTACTAATAATAATTGATGGCAATGGAAAATGTACCCATGGAATTATGTTGCTTGTAATCCACTGTGACTTTGTCCTACAGTAAACACAAAGTATGTTTTATAAATTTTTAAAAACATGTTAAATTTTTTTTAGAAAATGGACTTTTGGATGTATCCTGAGAATGACAAATCCTTTTCTGAATGACAAATACAATATTAGGGGATTTAAAATTCAGTTTTGGCAGGGTCATCTTCTGTAGTATAAATTCTGTATTAAAATTAGGTTAATGAACAAAGCCAGAAATGCCACCGTAGGTTAGATCATTAGCTAACCTCATGTGTGTTTTGTATATGAAGTTTCTGAGGAATATTTTATAGGAAAATAGGCCTTTTATTCTATTATATTGACCTGAAAATTTTCTTCAAAGAATATGTATTTTGAAAAAAAAGGAAAACTATTGAAGGGACACATTTATAGTAAATTAAAGTAAGCTTTTTACTAAATTTCTTACATTTCTTAATGAATTGCCTATAAATGAAGCTCCTTTATATGAAATTGCTAGTGTTAAGAAATAAGTAACAACAAGGAAAACCTTAAATCCTACCAAGTAGAGTTCTTTGCTTTAATAGCTTCTTGATCCAACTCTGGTTACAGCTTCTACTTGTCTTCACATACTTGGAGAGGCAATCCTAGGTGAAGTTTGAATCTTTCCTGACCCATTGCTTTTTCTTACATCTCTATGGGGATGGTCATGTGTTCCTCGTAGGCATACACTTTTTGGTCTTCTTTTTTTTTTTTTTTTTTTTTAAGATTTTATTTATTTATTCATGAGAGACGGAGAGAGAGAGAGAGAGAAGCAGAAGGAGAAGCAGGCTCCCAAGGAGCAGGGAGTCTGATACGGGACTCGATCCCAGGACCCTGGGATCATGACCTGAGCCAAAGGCAGACGCTTAACCAACTGAGCCACCCAGGCACCCCACTTTTTGGTCTTCTAAGAGCCCCTTCTCTCCCCACTTCTTTGCCTTCCTTTTTTCCATCCCATCTTGCAATAAAGCTGGGGGAAAAATTAATAATATATCATTTATATGTGCTGATTGATTAATTACACTTTAATTGAGACTCAATCACAATGAAATGTTAACTCAACCATGTACTTAGGTGAAGTCTCTAATTGTAAAATAAACATCCTCTCTCCCTTCCCCATCCCAACCTTGTTAAAGAGATTTTAGAGCTCATCAAGTAAGGAGAGGGGTTTCTGTTTTTGTTCTTTTGTTTTTCTAGGGGATGCATTATAATCAGGCTGCTTGTGGCTGGGAAGAAGGTAAATTTGACTCCTTCCTTTTAAAGCATGTTGACTGCCCTATTTATTACCTTTCCTCTCAGATGTATCTTGTCCCCCTAGGAAATCTGGTTGAGATTGTGGTCTTTCTAGGTTAGTAGCTCCTAAACATGGAAGAGTTTGCCTTAGCAGCCTATAGTGGATCCTTTCCACTAAGACCTATCCTTCACAGCCCATTTTCCTACTTTCCTTTTCATGAGAACTCAGTTTCTGCTCTTCCTTTGTACAAGGCTGTACCACTCAGAAAAAGTTGAGATTCACAGTTCCATTGCCAATACTGAGATTTAGGTAGAGAATAAGATGAATATTTATCACATGCTAAGATTTCTGCATTAGGAAGGCACACTGAGGGAAAAATAGCTTAGGAAAGCCTAGTGGATGAAGTGAAGTTTACTATGGAGTTTAAAGATTGAGTAGGATTAGAATAAGGCAGAAAGGAGGTAGGGAGGACATTCTAAGAAGGAATATTAAATGATTAGACTGTAAACCCCTTGAAGACAAAATAATTTATTAGCAATATTTGCTAATATTATTAGCACCTAGCACATCCTGGCACATAGCAGCTTTCAAATAAATGATTGTTCAGTTGATTTGAATTAAAGGTGAAAACATTGAAGGTGAGAGGGGCAAGGCATGTTATAGGAGCAATAGGAATCCACTTTGGAGGAATATAGGTTCATAAATTCTAGCTTAAGAGTCTGCTTGCCACATGTAATTATCCAAAATAAATTTTATATAATTACTGGTATGTTTTACTAGATGAATATTTATTGGGTAATCCTTAACATATAGTGGTTTCTGCTGAGCTCCTTGGTAGGGGGTAAACAGACAGACTAGACTAGAATATGGCCTTGCCTTTTAGAAGGCTTAGAATGTTTAGGGGAAGCAACATATACACATGTATCCTGCCCAAATAAAAACTATATGCAAACATCAACCGAAGAGATGATTTTATAAATATGCTGGCACTGAATGATGAAGCATCAATAAAACTGAATGAGTTTTCAGGAGTAGTCTCTTTGAGGAGAAAGAGACTAAATGGGCTATTTTCAATAAATACAGAGGTCATTGGCATCAGCAATCTGTGGCTGGTGGGCAGTAAGTCATATAAATGTACTGTTCTAATTCACACAATGAATTATATGTTTCGCTATAATACTCATTGGACTTAGAGTTTGCCAGTACCTGCCACTATTTTGATATGGCAATTTCCCATTTTGGTTCTAGTTATTAGGCCTTGTGAGAATTCATATAGATTGTGTACATATATGTACACATCTATACAAGCGAGTGGATGCTTGTTTTAAACAGATGTGTAGTGCTGTGACATAAGACGGTTGAAATATCTGGGGGACATTTTTAAATTATAAAATTTTCATTGGGCTAAAGGCAGTTGACCATGGTTAATCCCAACATTTATTTTAATTCCTTCTATTTTGTCGCAGCTCACTGGTTTGGGTTGGAATGACTCTATCCCCATATCCAAAGGTAGGCTCTGGTGTTAGGAGTGTGTACCAGTCAGTAACCTCATTTCCCCAAGGTACAGCAACTAGATTTTACCCTGAGTGACATAGGAAGCTATTGGAAGCAGAAGTGTGAGAGCAGTGTGAAGTAACAAGAACTAACTTGGGTTTTAGCAGGATCACTTTGGGAGTTGCTGTGTTTAAGATGGAGATAGAGAGGGGCAAGAAAAGATTGAACACTTAGGAGGTTATTTAAGTAACCCAGGTGGGGGGCGCCTGGGTGGCTCAGTTGTTAAGCATCTGCCTTCGGCTCAGGTCATGATCCCAGTTTCAAGGGGATCAAGCCCCGCATTGGGCTCCCTGTTCAGTGGGGAGCCTGCTTCTCCCTCTCCCACTCCCCTGTTTGTGTTCCCTCTCTAGCCGTCTCTCACTCTGTCAAATAAATAAAGATTAAAAAAAAAAAGTAACGCAGGTGGGAGATAATGGTGGCCTGGATCAGGAAGTGGGGATGGTATGAAATAGCCAGCTTTTGGACATATTTTAAAGGTAGAGCCAACAACATCTGCTGACAGAGTTCATAAGGTGTGTGAAAAAGAGCAACAAAAGAATAATCCAAAGTTTTTGGGTTGAGCAACTGGAAAGATGGAGTTACCATCAACTGAGATGGGGAAGACTGTAAAAATAGTAGGGTTGGACTTTGTGGAAGACCAGGTGTTCAGGTTTGGACATACTGAGTTTGAGATGCTGTCAGGTATCCAAGTACAGGTTTTGTGAAGGCAGTCAGAAATATGAATGTGGAGTCCAGGAGAGAGATCTGAGCTGGAGATTCATATTTGTGAGTCATTGCCATGAAATCAGGTGTGATCACCAAAATAGCGAGTGAAGAGACAAAGGAGAGAACAAAGATCCCTAGGATCTGCTGGCATTAAATCATCAGCAAGGAGAGGGGTACCAACACTGGATGCTGAGAAAAGGTCTATGAGATGTGAAGAAAACCAAGAAACTGTGTGTCCAGGAAGGTAGGTGGAGAGGGAGTGGTCAGCAGTGTGAGCTGAGGAAGGATGATCACTGAATAAATGCTGCTAAGTCAAATAAAATATGACTGATAATTGAAGATTTGCTCTAGATGATAAACAACTGTTGAGTCATTGGTAACCACTTTCATTGAAAAAGTGGGAACAAACGCCTAATTGGGTTGGATTTAAGTGAGTGGGAGAAGAAGATTCAAGACAATGAGTATAGACAACTTTTCTGAGAAGTTCTATGTAAAGGAGAGCAAAACAGTATGGTCAGAGTTTCATGTTGTTGATTTGTCTTTTGTTTTGCTTAAAATGGGGGGAAATATTACTATGTTTGATGCTGATGAGAATAATCCAGTGTTGGGGTTTGGTACACAAGTAGAGGAACAAACAGAGAGTTCATCTATTACAGTAACAGGTGGGGATGCACAGTATATGGTGCAGGTACTGAGAAGTGAATAGATATCAGAGTGGCTGTCCATGGAACTCTGGGTAGTAATTCCAAATACAAATGATAAAGAAATTTATGAAAACCTCTCTACTCATCAAAGCAATAAAAAATTTTTTTAAATGCTCAGATTTTTACCTATACAATGGTAAAATATAAAAAAATTATCCAAGGTTGAAATATGGAAGAAATGGGCATTTTTATACATGAATGGTACATAAATTCTTTTGGAAGGCAATCTGGCACTATGTCATCAAAAATCTTTATAAATCTGAGTAATCACTGTTTAGAAATAATCTTAAAGGAAATAATCATAGAAGTGAAATAAATAGTTGGCTTCAAGGATATTCAACATTTTTTTCCTTTCTTTAGTGATAGCAAAATCCTCAAAATGATGAAATAGC